GATAATTAATCAAACATAACCGAAGAAGATAAAACACAGAGAAACGCGACCACTGTTAGGTTAGGTTATGGTTGAACTGTACAGTATCCTCGTTTTCTTTAGTTTATCTTCAACAATGGGACTTCAGTATTAAACACAAAGGAAATATTAGAACACGTTTACAATTGCACATTTTCTACACATGTTTTTCTTAGTTGTAACAGAATCTCAAGTGTAAGGTATAACTAAGGCTGTAACACTCAGACAAAACAGTTTGCATCTCAAGCAGCAAAGCAGTTCGTGTTTTCTAACGTGTCCTCCAGAGAACAACTTGGCCATGCAGGTTAACAAGCTCTGGCGGACGGTGCCTGCTGGCGACGTAAATGATGGTTCACACACTCACACACACTGGAATTTTTGTGAGAAAGTTACAACAGGGAGACACTCTGTACATTCCGGGAAAGTCACTGCCACCATTACATTCTGTACAGATCCCAGCCAGTGCCACCACCACCACCACCACCACACTCTGCAAGCGTTCCAGTCACTGCCACCAATATCTGAGGTAACTGGGCATCACTCGACAAGGTTATGTTAGGTTAGGTTAGGTTAGGTCATCATCTTCACCAATTGCTGTGCACCACAAGACGAGCGACGGGAGAAACACCAAAACATTATCTTTAAAGCCAAAATTTTAGTCGAGAAAATATATGTTAGGGAAGACCGGTAGAATATTTACTTATTAAACCTTCCAACACCGTATATCCAGAATTTCACTTGAATCGGGTGTAAATAATTCAGTGTGGAACGCAGAGTTTTAGAGTGTGAAGACTGGGGAGATGAGGAGGTGGGGAGGCGAGGAGGTGGGGAGGTTGAGGCGGTGGGGAGGCAGGGAGGTGAGGAGGTGGGGAGGTGAGGAGGTGGGGAGGCGAGGAGGTGGGGAGGTTGAGGCGGTGGGGAGGCAGGGAGGTGAGGAGGTGGGGAGGTGAGGAGGTGGGGAGGCGAGGAGGTGGGGAGGCGAGGAGGCGTGCAGAAGGAAGGTCAAAGGTTGTTCAGAGACTAACCTTGCCACTTCCCGACGAATATTGCCACTAGGAGATAACTGAATATGCCAAGAGGGAGAAAGGTAAAAACTAATATTTCTCTATACCCCAGAAAACTAATATTTCATCATATACACAGAGGCAATAGATCCCCCCACGCCCAGAGGATCTTAGAATTATATTTTTATTCGAGTTTGAGAAGGAAATATTATACAGTATCTCTAGCGCCTGATGGGAAGGGTGGGGTCAGAATTTAGTATTTCATGGTTAAGTAAAGTCTATTAAATAAATCACGTAAAGAACCTAAATTTATTAATGTCTTTTCTCTATGATTTATTGTCGATTAAAATAAAAAAAAATCGAGCAATATTATTTGCCAACATTGGAAACGTAACTTCATGCAACCCATAATTTTTTAGATGTAGTTAAATAAGATAGACGTCAGGTAGGTTCAGAGGTTAATTACTTTATAAAGGTGTCTTAGTAATTTATAAACAGATATCAATTATAAAATTTTAAGTTTATTACTCCAGTTTATTAATAAAGAAATATCCCATAACACCTCTAAAGATTTTCCCATGCTTGATTACAAAACGACTAAATACAGAACACAACCAAACACAAATACAGAGGTTACAAAACAGAAAAATAACCTCCTGTATCTTATTCCTCACTTTGTTATTGTTGATATTTACCGAGAAATTAAAAAAAAAAATGAAATATAGTTTGAGCGTAAAATCCATTAAAAACAATAAGTAGAACAATTTATCTGTCAGGTGTAACGCTGTGAGAGGGCGGTATCTCTCCTCCCCCCCACCTCACCTGAGATTCATAAAGGTGAGGAAAAGTGTTAATTAAATCTTTGTGTCGTTAAAAAGTTAAAATTTGGTTTCAACTTTTTTTTTTTGGGGGGGGGGGGTCAAAAATATATATGGGAATAAACTAGTACACTAAAGGAGAATAATAATAATAATAATAATAATAATAATAATAATAATAATAATAATAATAATAATAACATAGGAGATAATGCTTACCTATTCAGCCTCTTACAGGTGAGAAAAAAAAATATATGAACTTCTACCTCACGTTACCTATATACCTGGTGATGTTGGTGTTTTAAAAAGAGATAACACCACGTTTCATAATATTTTGCCCTGATAATAAATTTGATTGTGTTTTTTTTAGTTTTTCTTGGCAAGTGTAAAAACAAAAGTAAATCTGTTTTTGTGTTTCTTGCTCAGTGTAAAAACAAAAATGTCTCTTTTTTTGTTTTCCTTGCTCAATTGTTTTCCCTCATAAAGTCATCACCCACAACAGGATATTACAAACCCCGAATAAAAAAAATAAAATAAAAAAAATATATATTTGCAAATGTTGACGGATGGCGTGTGAGGGAACTTGTGGTGACGGAGGAGTTTTGAGCTAAAAATACAATAACCAGGAATGTTGGCGCCTGGATTTTGGGAATGGAAATCAGGAATTGAAATCAGGACTAGGAATCGAGAATGGAAATCTGGAACGGGAATAGTGGACAGGAGGAATTATCATGTAAAGTTCGGTTGAAGTTGGGAATACACTAACTGTGGGGGTGGGGGGGTGTGTGGAATCAGGAATTGCAATCGGGAATGGGAACCAGGAAAAAGAATTAGAGAACAGGGCTATCATGTACAACTCAGGAAAAAACATATATTGAAAGGAAATGACTCTTGGAATAGGAATCACAATAGGAATCGTGAATGGGAATCAGGAATGGGAATTACAGAATAGGATTATAAAATATGAGACAGCGAAATAAATAAATATAAGAACGTGAAAAAAACAATGAAAAAAAAATTAAAACAAAGAATTAAACTAGAAAATGAAAAACGAAAAGAAATAAAAGCCAAAAATAAATCGAGAATTAAAAAAAAATAAAATAAAATTGAATTCAAAGTTATTTTAGTTATTATATTTCAGAGTTGTTTCAGGAGGGGTGAATATATACACAAATACAGACAAACACGCATACATATACATACACATACATACATAATCAGGTGTTATATGTATAATAATTACACCTGATTTGTTTTTCCTCATAATTATCTGTTTTTTTTATTTCATCCCCACAAAATAAATAAATAAATAAAAAAATTAACACTAAACAAAAAAACATTATGATGAAAACAAGACGAAAAAACCCCCACAATACTCCACAAATACTTTAAAATAAATAGATTTAATAAGTTTGTGTATATATATATCTTGGGTTAATACAATAATAAGAGAAAAAGGCAACAGAGACATGAGAGCAGGTAAGGAAATATCACGGTGAAATTTACATACATGATTTAAGTGGAATTGTGCAGGGTTGGTGGGGCTGTGTGGACGATTGTTTGGCAGAGTAAATTGGTGTATATTTGTCTAGTTAGTATGAGAGGGTTATAAGGCATACATACATACATACATACATACATACATACATACATACATACACATACACTCTCTTTACTTCTCTCCCTCTATCTCTTTTTACATATTTATTTCTGATTTCTCTCTCTCTCTCTCTAATCACTTCCCCCTCCAGTTACAACCCGGACCTTACATCACTCGCTCTATTCTCTATCTCTCACTTTGTTTAATTTCTTCCTCCTTCCCTTCTCCCCCCCCCCCTACTAACACACAGACAACCTTCAACTTTATCTTCAATTTACGATAAAAAATAAATAAATAAATAAATAAAAACAAAAAACAACAACAGTGGATTTGTTTACAGTTCTTAGGTGGAGGAGAAACGAGGAGACTTTTTTTGCGTGTGTGTTTTTGTTTTAGTATCAACACTACAACAAGGACACATTACTGGAGCCATCACCTTCCACCTGACTAGATATCCCTATCCGCCTCCTCCTCCTCCTCCTTGACCTGAGGGCGAGCGTGTACCAGGTATTGTTGAAGGACGACTTGAAAAACATCTCCAACGGTGAAGTATTTTCTAAGTGACGCTTATAACTCACTTAAGACTGATACCAATGATGTATTTTCAGGCCTTAAAAAACCCCGAAATGTTTAACTAATTTTTAAATGTTTAATTGGGAAATATAATACTAGAGGGAGCGTCTGGCGTTTTAAATACACACTTATGTACTTATCTGAGAACATTCAGTGATGTTTTGTAAGTGTAAGTGTAAGTGTAAGTGTATCAGAATTTGAGAGTAACTTAGAAGTGGAGGAAAATGTCGAGGATGAAGTGATAAGACAGAAAGGAGAGTGAGGACAGTGCAATACAACATCTCAACAGCCATTATTTCCCCCCTTCCAGCAAGTGACCTTCAACGCTCACACACTACTGGTATTGAGAGACGAGATGATAACTAGAGATAAAAAAAAATAAACAAATAGGTTTAGAGAGAGAGAGAAAGAAGAAAAAAAAACGTTGGATAAAGTTAGCGGGTCAACATCGTGGTATAGAGAGAGTGAGAGAGAGTGAACGGCTCAGTGTGGTTCCAGGGAGCGTTGGGTGAGCCCGTACACACTCCTTGTCAACACACCACTGGCTCGCTCTCGCTCTCGCTCTAGCTCTAGCTCTAGCTGTCTGAAAATTGACGCTCTATCCTTGAATCTGTTATTAATTGATTGAATGATTGATTTTTTTTATTGCGTCTAGAGGTGATTGACAAGGAAAATATTATTAAAACTTTGTAGTTTTATGAAAATACCAGAAAAAATCAAAACTTTATATAGTGCGATAAGCCGAAGTGCGGTCTACAGAGTCTTGTAAAACGAATGACGAAATACAACCAATATGACTAAAACAAACACTGTATATTGACATTAAACTCACCAGTGTGTTATAAATATTTTAGTTAACGTGTAAGTTTCTGAGTTTCTCGTGTGCATCATCTGTTAGTGATATTTTTTTTCCCAGACACATGTACGTTTGGCATCACACAAGAACGTCTCAAACTGTCATTACATAACGTTAATTTACGATAATTTAACACTGAGAAATATTTAAACCATACAACTTTTTCCTTAGTGCTGATGTTTACAAAAAAATTATAATATAACACGTAAAAAAAAAATCATCTCCATAACAAACTATTGGCGAGTGTTGACAAAAAACCAAAAGAAACTAAACAAGGTCAATTATCTGATTCCCGGAAGTAAACAAGACTAATGGCTTATTTAGGACTGAGGTGAAAATACCATTAACTTGATCCATCCTATTCATTATAAAGGTTAATTACAGGTTAATTACAGGTGTGATAAACATTGATTACCTGTGTGTAGTGAAGAGTGTTGGCATCTGTGCAGGTAGTGAGGGAGTGATTACCTGGATCTTACCTGTGTCACATGCTGATTACCCACAAGAGCTGAGACTACCTGTAGGACTGAGACTACCTGTAGGACTGAGACTACCTGTAGGACTGAGACTACCTGTAGGACTGAGACTACCTGTAGGAGTGGGACTACCTGTAGGACTGAGACTACCTGTAGGACTGAGACTACCTGTAGGACTGAGACTACCTGTAAGACTGAGACTACCTGCAGGACTGAGACTACCTGTAGGACTGAGACTACCTGTGATACCTGTTATCATCTGGAGTGAGCTGTAATCCCAGTGTGACCTGACCTGGAGTAATCTGTAATCCCGGTGTGACCTGACCTGGAGTGAGCTGTAATCCCGGTGTGACCTGACCTGGAGTAACCTGTAATCCCGGTGTGACCTGTAAATATCTGGAGTGACCCATAACACCGGTGCGACCTGACCTGGAGTGATCTGACCTGGAGGCAGCAGGAAGGAAGATGTGGAGGCTGGCTATAGTGAGCATCCTGGCAGCTGTGACCACCAGTGTTGAGATAAAGAGAAGTAAGTGATGCTGTGACTCATGTTATCTTCACGCGTCACTCATCCGTCACTCTCACTCGTCATTCATCCATCACCATCCCTCTCCACCACCATCACTCTTCACCACTACCCTTACCATCCCTCTCCACCACCATCACTCTCCACCACTACCCTTACCATCCCTCACCATCACCATCACTCTCCACCACTACCCTTACCATCCCTCTCCATCACCATCCCTCTCCACCACCATCACTCTCCACCACCACCCTTACCATCCCTCACCACCACCACCACCACTACGTCTTCGTCTCATACCTCCTGTGTACTGACGAAGTTTACCTGAAAGAAAACACCCTTGTTGGTGGTTCCTAAACGGTAGACAATACATCACCTCTCGGGAAACAGATCATTTTGCTGGATATGAATGACGTGGTACATATTTTATGGACGACGCGGTACATATTTCACAGTTGTTTAACCCTCGTCTCCAGCTGATTTTCGGTAAACAAAATAAACGAAAAAACGTGAAGGTGATATATGAGGTAGGAGGAAGAATGGAAAATCAGTCTAACCTAACCTAAGCTAAACCTAACCTAACCTAACCTAACCTAACCTAACCTAACCTAACCTTACCAAATATAACCTAAACAAACTTAATCTAACCTAATCTAACCCAATCCAACCTAGCCTAAGAGAGAGAGAGAGAGAGAGAGAGAGAGAGAGAGAGAGAGAGAGAGAGAGAGGTGATATTTATCGTCAGTATTCAGTTCCTATTTATCTTACCATATCCTCCTCCTTCACCCCCTTCTTCAGTTCTCTATAGTTTCCACACAGACAAACTTTCCTTACCTCCCTCCTCCCACAATCTTCTTATCTAATCTATCCCTTCCTCTCTTACTATTCCCCTTTCATCCATTCATCCACACTCCTCCTTCTGTTCTCCTCTCCATCCACTACACACACGCCCTGCACGAGTACCTGAAGCCTCCTGTACATCCAGTCTTCTCTTCTTTTCCTGTCGTTCCCTGTCGTTCCTCTCATACCTATCGTTCCTGTCGTTCCCCTTCTTTCCCTGTCGTTCCCTGTCGTTCCTACTATCATACCTATCGTTTCCTGTCGTTCCTATCATACCTATCGTTCCTGTCGTTCCCTGTCGTTCCCTATCGTTCCTATCGTTCCATAGCTCCTACCACCCACTAGCTATATCAATGCCTTTTCTTATACCTTTCATCTTATCTCTACTGTCGATTTTATCCTATTTTTATCATTGCTTTATCTTAATATCCATCTTTATTATCTTATTTTATGCCCCTTCCCACCATCCGTATTTTCTTCACTAAACTCGTATATATGTATGTATGTATATATGTATGTATGTATATATGTATGTATGTATGTATGTATGTATGTATGTATGTATGTATGTATGTATGTCACGTTTTCTTGCAATATTATATTACAGAAATGTGTGTGTGTGTGTGTGTGTGTGTGTGTGTGTGTGTGTGTGTGTGTGTGTGTGTGTGTGTGTGTGTGTGTCTACATTAAATATTCCTAAACAGATAAATACAGATTATAAATAAAAGAATAAGAGAAAAAATTAAAGTGTGAAACTGCAACACTGATGGGAAAGTTGTGTGAGAGAGAGAGAGAGAGAGAGAGAGAGAGAGAGGATTCCCACGGGCCGGGATAAAGCCAGCAAAAAGTAAATATGTTTTTTTTTGCGTCAGGAAAAAATACAGGAATTTTCTTTTTATTGCTGTAGGACGATCTGTAGATTTTGTATTGGGTTTATTGTCATGGCTACTGTAGCTATTTATTGGTATATTTATTTTTACTCTATAAGTCATATTAATGTTCATAATCACATGGTTATATTAAGAGGTATATAAGACTACCAGCTCTTAGTTAATGCTGGCGTATATTTAATTAAGATATAACACTAATAAATAATTAAATAAGAGGTTATTAAGACACATTACAAAGTATTATAATATTACATGAAAAAAATAAACTGTTTCTTTCTATTAATTAATTATTTACTGGAGTTTTGAGAATGAGAATATTCCATTACAGGTATATGGCACAAATTATGACACTAACCTAACCTAACCATAACCTAACGTAACGTAACCTAACTTAACATAACCTAACTTAATGTAACCTAACGTAAAGTAACCTAACCTAACCTAACCTAACCAAACCATAACCTAACGTAACCTAAGCTAACATAACCTAACCAAACCATAACCTAACCTAACAAGAAATATATTTTTAGAGAAATTAGTGAATATATATATATAGATTTAAAAGTTATGAATCATTTACATATACGTTAAAAATTAATCTAAGGCAGTTTTAGTAAGACAAAGGCCAGATTAGTGGATTATGTATACGTTCTGTCGCCGGCCACCTGAGAATTAAATATAAGAACACACACGTTACATTGTTCATCAGGATTTTATGAACAAAGAATAAAGAGCTAAAGTTCAAGAGAATAACCAGCTAAAGTAATCTAAATTGTTATTAAAAACCAAACTAATAATAAAATGAACAAAATGAACATAAATGAACAAAAATAATCACGAAACGTTACCTCCACTAGCTTGTTACTGACACCAAATTAACCACGACTATTTTTGTGGGGTAATTGAAATAAATTAACCCGAATTAATTAAAATGACCGTTCCAGTGGCTCCCAGCGCTTTCAACCGGTCCGGCTTAAATGGTCTATGGTCATTTATGTACAAATGTGGTCTTTACAACCGGTTAAATATTATGGGTCTGGGTAATTAGGCTTCTATAACCTGATGGCTGGGGGAAACGGAGTTGAATTCATTTTAAAGGTCAGAGTTTGTGTGTTATCCTACGGTAGTTAGCCTTAAGGATGAGCTCAGACAGGTGGGTTATTACTGTTATGTCCCGGTAATTCTTCCTTCCTTTGAATCTACATCGAGACGAGACTGTAGGCTTTATGTTGTATGAGACAGTATTAGCATCTCAGCACCGCCTTGTAGAATCCCAACTGGTTTACATATACAGGTATCTACAACACAGGTAGGAAGGAGTAGAGAGGGTGGAAGGGGCAGGGGGGAGGGGGAGGGTACACCTGTTCTACCTTTACCTGTCTGTGAATAGTGATACCTCCTTGGTAAGTCAGAGAACAGGGCATAATATTGAGGGCATACTGTCATGGTTATCTCCAATATATCGTAAACAAATACTAAGAGCGATGATGAGGGACTACAGGTAAAAATGTATCGTATTGTAGTTTGTATGTTTACTTGGCAACCATGACAATACGTGAATCAGAGGTCGTGATTTAAATACAGGATGGATTGGTTTGTTGTTGGACTAGACAATAAAGTCATTCTAATTTTACGATGTTTTTATTTACGTTACCTGGGCAAAGGTGTATGGTTACCTTGAAAAAAAAAACCTCTAGTGAAAAAAAAAGTAAACAGAGTCGTTAATTTGCATTGAACTCTCTAAAATTCAGGTAAAGTTACGATAATTTAACCTGAGATTAATGAGCAGGCTGGCACAAACCTCCCACGACCCGGAAAGTTTGCTGTATTTCCCAACGGCGGCTCTGAAGGACTGTGTATTAAAAATGCTGCATATGTTATATTCACCACTGGTTAGGTTAGGTTAGGTTCCTACCACTGCTTCATTATTCATGCAGGAAAACATTACCTGTGTAGCGGCACAACTGTTTATTTTACTCACCTGTGCATAATTTAAGTACAGCCTTACTGAGTGAAAATAAATGAAAAAATCGCTGCTCATATCCTCCAAGCTGTTTTCAAATAGTCTTACTATAAGAGGCGAGGGGAACTTCATCTCCAAGAGGAAATTAACACATACCTCAGTCTAGGTAATATTTACGTTAATAATGGTCAGATATTCATATAACACATTACAGTAATAATGATCATAGAGCGAGAAGAATGAGGAATGGTAAGTGAAGGTTTAGTTATAAGAGGGAACTCGCTACCTGAAGGTGATGTCCTCTTAATAACACTAACAACAACAACAATAATAATAATAATAATAATAATAATAATAATAATAATAATAATAATAATAATCATAATAACCACAATAATAATAATAATAAATAAGAATAATAATCACTCCCTCACAGCTGACGCCATACCAATCTCTCACTGTGTCAAGGGATCTTAAGCCATAGCTCTGAATTCTCTCTCAAGAGTTCACTATCCTCATCAACTACGTCATGTCACCTTCATCTCTCCTCCCCTCTCCTCACATCATATTCCTAGACAAATATGAATGTTTATTGTATTATGAGCGCGATAATATATCCCATCCACCAAAATCAAGCTGGTTTTATCACATATGCCAGAGGTCGTCAGAAGAGGTATAAGGAATCGTTCGCATATCTTAGACGACCTCAAGACGTTGTTTCCCCAAGAGATAAACCTTTTATTCCTGTACTTTAACTATTAAGGTCTTGACGGGGGTAACAAGGGGAGTATTTACACTAATTCTTAAACGATATAAAATTATGAGAGATTGAGCTCTTTTTACGGCCACTTTATTTGAGATTGAGCTCTTTTTACGGCCACTTTATTTGAGATTAAGCTCTTTTTACGGCCACTTTATTTGAGACTTATAGTATCTTTTGCTTTTATTAAATCTTCATAAATTACAAAAAGAGTAAAAATATCCCCAGAACCTCATCTTCGTCTTTAGTTCACAGCACAATAGAGTTTTATTAATTAAGCTAAATATTAATACGATATAATTAGTACATTGCCTACCTGTACTTAATTAATGTTATGTCCAATTGGTCATCAGGTATTAATAACAGGTGTAGTAATTTTTCTTAAGTGACAATTTAACATTATAAACGTAACACCATAATGTAGAGGTTAACTTAAACACATCACAAACGTATTTAACATAATTATTTGTATTTTGGTTAATGTTCAAATTCTATGACGGTAAATGAAGTTAATATTTGAACAAAATGAACAAAAGGTACAAGAGGAAGG